AAAAAAAAAAAACCCAACCAAACAAAAAAACCCCGAACTTGAAACTATTCTGGGCTAGTGAGTGCTCTAGTGGCCTTGTGGCAATAAGTTGTGCTGCAATATCAAAGACACATGGTTCAAATCCACTATCTGCTCTGTTGTAGAAGAATGGGTAATCTCCTCCCTTGCAATTTGCTGCCTCTGCAAACCTGCTGGAGGATCAGCTGTGAGTCAGTTCTGACTCAATGGCATTACAACAACATTCTGGGTTAAATGTTGAGCTGTTAACAGAATTCTTTGGAGTTCAACCCATCAGCTGCTCCTTGGTGAAAAGGGCTGAAACCTGCTTCCATCAAGATTTTGTTTGTTTGGGGTTTTTTTAATAAAATTTTTACTTTATACTGGTTTACTTACAAAGTTTGCATACATTTTTAAAAATTTTTTTATTAATTTTAATAAACATTTACAGAGATTTTGGATTTCCATTCATTCATTGCCGCACTTTTTTCCCTGCCCACCCCTCCCCACCAGTTCACTCCCCTCTCTAAAAAGAAAAAGAAAAAAAATTCCTTCATTGGTATACTATTTCCCCATGCCTTCCTCCCACCCCCCCTGCCCCATGTATACATTTTTTTCTCACACCAGATATTTCCCATTTCATTTACCCACCCATCAAATTGTGCGACCCTATGATTAACACTCACCATCCACACACCTCTGCTCTCCCCCCTCTCCACCTTGGATCCTCATTTTCTAAAAAACTATTTCTTAAATTTTTACTCATTCATTGTTGCTCATTTTTTCCCTACTCCTCCCAACACCCTCCTCTACCCCACTTTGCAATTCACCTCTTGTTCCAGATTGTTGTCATACATACCTAATAATGTATTCCTTTTGGACTGTTCTTCACCTCATCTGTTCCAATGCAGTGTTTATCATCTATCCACTATTTTTCTAGGCTCTCTCGAACCCTCCATGTCTATTTTATTTTATAACAGTGGTGTTGTGCAGTATTTGTCCTTTTGCAACAGATAATTCACTCAGCATAATGTCCTCCAGCTCAGCCCTGTTGTCTAATGTTTTAAGAGTTCGCTGTTTTTCACTGCTGTGTAATATTGTGTTAATATACCATAGTTTTTCTATAAATTTGTTGATGGGCACTTGGGTTGCCTCCAACTCTTTGCTATTGCGAATAATTCTGCAATAAACTGATGTGCAGACATTTGCCCGAGTCTCAGCTCTGGTTTCCTTTGGGTGTATTATCAGTAGTGGAATTGTTGAGCCAAATGATTTTGGGTTTGGGTTTTTTTTTCTGATTTTCTTACAAAGTTTGAGTGCGTTGTCTTTCACAAAGATCCTTCCCATTTCCTTCACTCCACCCACCCACACAATTGTGCAAACCTATGATTAACACCCTACCCCTCCACCAAACTCACCCCTCTATTTCCACCTTGCTCCTCACCTTGGATCCTCATACTCATTTTACAACACAGTTTTATACAGTATTTTTCCTTGTGGACCTGTGTTATTTCACTCAGCATAATGCTCTCCAGCCCCTCCCAAGTTAGGTAGTAATTTACAAAATGATTGCTCCTCTGTGCTGCATAGTATTCCATTGTATGACTGTACCACAATTTCTCAATCCATTAGTTTGTGGTTGGATATCTGAGCTGTTTCCATGTTCTTGCGAAAGTGAATAATGCTGCTATGAACACTGGTGTACAAGTTTCCATTTGAGCCTCAGTTCTCATTTTCTTGGAGTATATTCCAAGCAATAGAATAGCTGGGTCATATGGAATTTCTATGTTCAGCTTTTTGAGGAAGTGCCAACTGCCTTCCAGAGTGGTTGTACCATTGTACAATCCCACCAACAATGTAAAAACCAAATGGTATTTCTACTTCCAACTCCTTGAGAAAGCGCCAGACTGCCTTCCATAGTGGTTGTACCATTTTACATTCCCACCAGAAGTGAGTAAGAGTTCCAATTTCACCTTAACCTTGCCAGCATTTATTGTTTGCTGCCCTGTTGAACTGTGTTATTATTGCTGGGGTGAGTTGTTATCTAATAGTTGTTCTGCTTTGCATCTAACAGCTGGGGACTTTTAACATTTCTTCATGTTTGTGTTTGCTATGTGAATGTCTTCTTTGGTGAAGTGTCCATGAAGATTGACAGTTTCAAAATGCTATATGGCAGACCTACCCTGTCCTACAGAGAGTTCCTATGAGTCAGAATCAACCATATGGCAAAGAGTTCAGTTCCTTACATTTTCTTTTTGACATGCATCTAAGTAAATATTAGAAACAAAATATGTAACCTCACAAATAAACATTCGAATCCAAATTATAGTTGTTCATACCACCTTACCAGCTTATTTTTTTAAATTGCCATCATTGCAAGCTGGACAATGAATAAGGATGACAGAAGAATTGAAACCTTTGAGCTGTGGTGCTGGAGAAGTCTTCAACATACCATGGACTGCCAAGAAAACAAATAGGTCTGTCTTGGAAAGGGTGAAACCACGTTTCTCCTTGGAGGCTAAGATTTTGAAGCTCCATCTCACATACTTTGGGCATGTGGCCAGGAGGGACAGATCCTTGGAGAAAGACACCATGCTCAGAAGGGTATAGGGACAGCGCAGGAAAGAAAAACCCCAGATGAGATGGATTGATACAGTAACTGGAGCAATGGGGGTAGGTGTGTCAGAGTCAGAGATTCTGGCTCAGGACAGGGCAGGCTTCAGAGCTGTTGTACATTGGGTCGCTATAAGTCACAGGCAACTCAGTGGCATATAACATCATCTGAATAGCTCTTGAGAGAAAACCAATGATAAAAGCTATCTTTAAGCAAGCTCTCACGACAGGCACTATGTTACAAATTTTTTATGTGCACATGCCAAGTGGTAAGGAGCTGCACTGCCATCCCAAAAGCACACAGTTCAAATCCACCAGCTGTTCCATGGAGAAAGATGAGCAATCTCCTCACATGCACTTAAATTGCTTCTGAAAACCCACTGGGAGAGTCAGTTATGAGCTGGTTCTGACTTGACTGTATACAACAACATTCATGAATAATTCCTTTTAGAAGGATCAGCACAAAGCTAGTTCCTATGACATACAAGTTAAAGTTGTCCCAAATACCTTAATCTTTCCAAATAGCTGTGCCTATCTCTAATATCAACTATTTACCCTTCCCTCAGTACTTTTCCTTACAAATTTGCATTCTGTAATTTGTTGCACGGTCTCACAACTTTCATAAGAAAATGGCTCATGAAGTGGAGGCTGGCAAGCCCCAAATAAGTGTGGCAGCTTCTCTCAAATCGTATAGTTACAGGGGCTGATGACTTTAAATTAATGGATTTACAAAGCTGTGAAAGCCAGAAAATCAGGTCAGATCATAGCATCTTAAGGTCAAAGAACCTGTGATCAGGTGATGAGTAAGATGCAGAATATAGAACAAGAGTGAATATTGACAGTTGTTGTTGTTGTGTGCCGTGGACTTACCTGCAACTCATTGCGAGCCTATGTACAACAGCCCTAAACCCTGCTCTATCCTATGCCCTGACACGCCCACCCCCAATTACCCCAGTCACTGAATAAATCCATTTCATCAAGGGTCTTCCTCTCTTGCTCTGTCCCTCCCCCTTCCCAAGCATGATGTCCCTCTCCAAGGACTGGTCCTGCCTTGTTAACATGTCCAAAGAATGTCAGACGAAGCTTCAGAATCTTTACCTCCAAGGAGCAGCGTGGTCTCACCTTCTCCAGGACGAACCTGTTTGTTCTTGTAGCAGTCTATGGTATGTTCAATACTCTTTGCAGCACCACAGTTCAAAGGCATCAATTCTCCTTCTATTATCCCTAGTCAATGTCCATCTTTCTGATGCATAGCAAGTAATTACAAAGACTATGGTCTGGATTAGAAGGGGTCATGGTACTAGGGATATTGTTGCTGATGTTAGATGGATCTTGGCTGAAAGCAGAGAATACCAGAAGAATGTCTATCTGTGTTTCACTGATTATGCAAAGGCATTTGACTGTGTGGATCATAACAAACTGTGGCTGACTCTGAGAAGAATGGGAATCCCAGAACATGTAATTGTGCTAATGCGAAACCTGTACTTGGATCAAGAGGCAGTAGTCAGAACAGAGCAGGGTAACACTGCATGGTTCAAAATTGGGAAGGGTGTACGCCAGGGATGCATCTTTTCTCCATACCATTTCAACATGTATGCAGAGCAGATTATCCGAGAGGCTGGGCTCTATGAGGAGAATTGTGGCATCAGGATTGGTGGAAGATCTATTAACAATCTGCGTTATGCAGATGACACAACCCTGCTTGCTGAAACTGAGGAGGACCTCATGCACTTGCTGCGAAGGGTCAAGGACTGCAGCCTTCAGTATGGACTGAGGCTCAATGTCAAGAAGACAAAGATTCTCGCCACTGGACCAGTTGGCAGCGTCAGGATGGATGACGAAGAGATTGAGATTGTTCACAGCTTCAGTTTGCTCGGCTCCACAGTCAACACTCTTGGCAACAGCAGTCAGGAAATCAAAAAGTGTATCGCGATGGGAAAGTCTGCTGTTAGGGACCTCTCTAAAGTACTCAGGAGCAACAGTGTCTCTCTTGAGACTAAGGTGTGCCTGATACAGGCCATGGTATTTGCAATTGCTTGTTATGCATCAGAGAGTTGGACAATGACTAGGGAGGACAGAAGGAGAGTGGATGCTTTTGAGCTGTGATGCTGGAGAAGGGTACTGAATGTACCCTGGACTGCCAGGAAAACAAACGGATTTGTCTTGGAGAGGATTAAACCAAGCTACTCCTTGGAGGCAAGGATTCTGGGGCTTCGTCTGACATACTTTGGACATGTTGCCAGGAGGGACGGGTCCTTGGAGAGGGACATGATGCTTGGGAGGGTTGAGGGACAATGCAGGAGGGGAAGACCCTCTATGAGATGCATTGATTCGGTGACTGGGGTAATAGGGATGGGTGTGTCAGAGGCAGTTGGAGGCACAGGATAAAGCAGAGTTTAGGGCTGTTGTGCATAGGGTCGCTATGAGTCGGAAACGACTCGACGGCACATAACAACAACAACAACAACATAGCCTGGATTAGGTGCACCTTAGTCTCCAGACTGACATCATTGCTCTTCAGTACTCTGGAGAGGTCCCTGACAGCAGACTTGCCCAGTGCAATTAATCTTTTAATTTCCTGGCTACTGGTACCAAGAATGTTGATTGTGGAGCCAAGCAAACTAAAGCTGTTAACAATCTCAATCTCTTCACCACTATCATGATGTATTCACATATATAGGATACAAACTACTCATCAAGGAACTTTTCTTAATTGAGCAAGGTGATACAAAGTTGTGGAGGGTGTTGGCTGGGGTAAGAGTGGTGACTTAAGTCATTCCATCTAATAATGTTATAATTTAAGACTCATCCTACTCTAAATGCACCTCATTAACATAATTAACAACTCACTCAAAAATGGGACTATATAAGCAGAGAGGCTAGGATTTACAATTCATCACAAAACGGAGGATCAACACTAGAAAGACAATATTAAACAATTCACTGTACTATAACGTATCAATATATGTATTAATACAATGAAAGATCAGATGGGTATTGGCTGAAAGAGAATATCAGAAGTATGTCTATTTGTGTTTTATTGACTATGTAAAGGCATTTGACAATGTAGAACATAAATTATGGCTAACATTGAGAAGAATGGGAATTCCAGAATACTTAACTGTGCTCATTTGAAACCTATACTTAGATCAAAGACACTGTTACCTAAATAGAGGAAGGGAACACTGCTCAGTTTAAAATAAAAAGGTGTGAATCAGGGCTGGATTCTTTCTCCATACCTATTCAATCTGTATGCTGAGCAAATCAATCGAGAAGGTGGACGTTATGAGTAAGAATGCGGCATCAGGAAGATGCCTCTGAAGACTCACCAACAACCACCTGTGTTATACAGGTGACATAATCTTGCTTTTTGAAAGTAAGAAGGATTTGAAGTGATGCTGCAAAAGATCAAAGACGACAGCCTTCAGTATGGATTACATCTCAACATCAAGAAGACAAAAAATTTTCACCCCTGAGCAGAAAGGCAACATCACAATAGATGGAGAAAATACTGAAATTGTCAATGACTTTATCTTACTTGGATCCACAGTTTAGATTCTTAGTACCAACAGTCAAAAAATCAAAATAAAAAAAGGACATACTGCATTCACAAAATGGTATATGACATTGAAAAACAATGAACTCATAAAACATTACAAATCATGGGAGAGCCTGGAGGACATTATGCTGAGGGAAATAATTTTAATCGCAAAAGGACAAATACTGCATAACACTGCTGTTATAAGATATGACAGACATGGGGAAACTGAGGAGAGAATGGGAACAGAGTGGATAATGAGTACTGCATTAGCTCTCATGAGGGGAAGAACTGTCACAAAGAAATATATGATTAGGCATAACATGTATGACAACAATCTGGAACAAAGGATGCATTGTGGGGAGAAGTAGAGGAAGGGGGAAGGGAGGGAAGAAAATACGCAACAATGGGCAAAAAAACCCCATGTTTTCCAATGTTATTTGTGGTTAAAGCTGAACATTCATAAGCTGTTAAAGGCTTTGCAACTATATTTTGGAACAATATGAAGGCTCATAAATGTTGAATCTTTTCAGCTCTAAGTATTAATCCTGAGAATGAATAACAAAGAGGCATTTTTGATGGCAAAAAAAAAAGTATTGCACTGGGAAAGTCTGCTGTCAAGAACCTCTTCAGAGTACTAAAAAGCAATAATGTCAATTTAAAGGCTAAGGTGCACCTTATTCAGTCTACTTTTCAATCACTTTCTATGCATCTGAGAACTGGACAATGAGTAAGAATGACAGAAGAAAAAATAATGTCTTTGAATTGTTGGTGTTGGAGAAGAGTACTGAATATTCCATGGACTTCCAAGTCCACAAAAAAACAAAAACCAAAAAACTGTCTTGGAGAAAGTTCAACTAAAGTGCTCCTTAGAGGCAGGGATGACAAAGGTTCATCTCACATACTTTGAGCCTGTTGTTAGAAGGGCTTATTCCTTGGAAAGGGACATCAAGCTTAGAAAGGTAGAAAATCGGCAAAAGATAGGAAGCCCATCAATGAGATGGACTGACACAGTGCCTACAGAAATCGGCTCATGCATGTCAGAGATGATGAATATAGCACAAGATAGGACAGGGTTCATTCAGATCTGTGCTCATGAGGTCATTATGAGTCACACTCAGTGGCACTCAACAACAACAACATGTTCAACACTTCAATGTTTGGCTGTGTTTTCTTGATTATGTAAGTTATTCAACTGTGTCGATCACAACAAATTATAGAAAACATTGCAAAAAAAATAAGAATTCCCAAATATTTAATAGTACCCATTCAAAACCTGTGCAAAGATCAAGATGTAACTGTTCAAGCAGAACAAGTATTTGCATGTGTGGTTTAAAATCAGAAAAGGTACTCATCAAGAATATGCCCTTTCCTCATACTTATTCACTTTGAAAGCAAATCTGTATGCTGAGCAATTAATTTGAGAAACTGGATGGTATGAGACATCAGAAATTGAGGAAGACTCATCAATAACCTGTGATATATAGATGTCCACCAATCACTGGGTCTGATATTCATTGTTGATTCACAGTTGTGGTACCAAGAATGGGGTTTATTAGTGAATTAAATTGGAGAGTGGAGGAGGCAAAGAATATCATTGAAAGCAAGTTCAGATTTTAGTCGAGCAGTTCACAGGCACAATTCCTCAATTAATCCTGGCTCTAGTTTCAGTTCAGCAGTCAGCTTTTCCTTCTATCACCCAGCAAGAGTAGCAAAACCTTTAAATGTGGCCGTTATCTCAGGGCTCCTCTGGTTACACTTTGCCAAAGTTTTTCCATAGTAATACCACAGTCTCCACCACCATCACCAGGGTCTTGCCATCAAGGTCTTACTCCATTCGCCCTCAAGTCTTGCTGCATAGTATGGGAAGCACTGTCTCTTCTTCTTCTAATCCCACAGCTGTTAATGATTTGCAAGGCCATATGTCTGCAGTTAAGGTAGGTGGAGACCAGAGGGGGCTAAGGTAATGGCTAAAAGAGCCAACTTTCAACTAACACCACAGTGATGAACATCAAAGATTACAGTTTGAAACAAGGATTACACCTCAACATCAAGAAAACAATAATCCTCATATCTGGATTAAGAAACATCATGATGGAAGAAAGCCTGAAATTGCTAAAGATTTCATTTTGCTTGGACCTCCAATCAACACCCATGTAGGCAGCAATCAAGAAACCATATGGCATTCTGCATTAAGTAAATCTGCCCAAAACTCTTTCTTTAAAGAGTTAGAGAGTAAAGATATCACTTTGAGGAAAAAGGTGAACCTGACTAAGCCATGGTATTTTCAATCGCAAAAGCTCAACAATGATTAAGACTGAAGAATTTCTTCTTTTGAATAATAGTGTTGGCCAAGACTATTGAATATACTATGTCTATCAGCAGAACGAACACATCTGGCTCAGAAGGACAATCGAAATGTTCCTAACATGCATGTGAGCATGCTGAAATTGTCTCATATTCTTAGGACGTATCATCAAAAGCAGCCAGTCTCTGGGAAAGACATCATGCTTGACAGAAGGGTCAGAAAAAAAAAGAGGGAAAATGTTCACAAAATGGACTGTCACAGCAGCCACAACAATAGGTTTAAAAATGCAGCAGCTGTGAAGATGGCACAGTGTTTCATTCTGTTGTACACAGGGCTATTTTTCTGAGTCTAAACTGACTGAGGGAACCTGATAGCATTATCTCACTTAATCTTATCACTAAATTTCAAAATAATTTCCAGAATCAGAAAGATTGTTTCTCAATGAGAGGTCACAAAATTAGCAAATGTCAGATCAGAACAGTTTTGTCTTTCTCCTGCACTCCCTTTTCATTCCTTAATCTGTTGCAGGGTATTACTGAAGTCTTCAATTGAGACTGGTATATGCTAGGTTTCAGGGGAAACAAAGAAGTGAGCAATACAGACAAAACTTGATGGTGTGGAAGTGACAAGATAATGGATTCCTATTTTCCGTCCTTTAACTTTTATATAGTAGTGTAGTATATGGGAACTGGATCTGCTCTTACTGGTGTTTGGTAACCTCTCTGTGCTTCATTATCCTAATTTAAATATACAGATATCTATACATGCATAGAGAAGAGAGCACACTTTCTGAGATGCGCCTCATCCAGGCCATGGTCTTAGCAATTACTTGCTATGCATCAGAGAGCTGGATAATGACTAAGCATGAAAGAAGACGAATTGATACCTTTCAGTTGTGGTGCTGGAGAAGTGTACTGAATGGATTGCTAAGAGAACAAACAGGACTGTCTTGGAGAGGGTGAAACCAGAATGTTCTTTGGAGGTAAAGATTTTGAAACTCCATCTAACATACTTTGGGCATACTGTAAGGAGGGACCAGTTCTTGGAAAAGGAAATCAGGTTTAGAAGGGTAGAGGCACAGCAGAGGAGAGGAAGACCCTGGAAGAGATAGATTGACTCAGTGACTGGGGTAATGGAGGTAGGTGTGTCAGAGACAATGAAACTCGCTCAAGATAAAGCAGGGTTCAGAACTATTGTACATACAGTTGTTATGAGCTGGAGTGAGCTCTATGGCACATACAACAACATATATAGGTACAAATATAGTAACATTTAAAAGTTTCATGTTTAGGTCTCCATTTAAAAAAACCCAAACTTACAGAACTGAAGGTCCCAATTAAGAAACTTGCAAAGATCACAATTTTTTTTGGGGAAAAAAACCCATAAATTAGAGGGATCTGCCCTATAAAAATGTGTTTTTCTGGGCACTTTTGCATAGCCTATGTTTTAAATGGTGAACCAGGGCCTTTAATCTCTTCTTCTGTCATCCTTATTCATTGTTCAGCTTTCAGATGCAAAGCAAGTTACTGAAAAGACCATGGCCAGAATCAGGTACAACTTAATTTTTGTTGTTGTTTTGTTTTTTTATTTTAATGAAAGTTTATAGGGACTTTGGATTTTCATTAATTCATTGTTGCATACTTTCCTCCCTGCCCACCCCTCCCTCCAAGTTACTCTTTGAAAAGTAAAAGAAAAATTCTTTCATTGTTATACAACCTTCCCTCACCCAGTCCACTCCACTATGCAGTTCTCATTCTGGACTCTTGTCATGACAATAATACCTAATCAGCTCTCTCCCTCATCTGTTTTCACCACAGTATACATTATTTATCTCCTCTTAATTTCCCCTCAACCCCCACGTCAGTCCTGTTTTATAACAGTAGCATTGTGCAGTATTTGCCCTTTGTGTCTGAGATATTTCATTCAGCATAATGTCCTCCAGGGTCACCCATTTTGAATAATATTGCATGAGTTCCTTGTTTTTCAATGCAGCATAGTATTCCATTGTGCGAATATACCACAGCTTCTCTGTCCATTCGTTTGTTGATGGGCACTTGGGTTGTTTCCATCTCTTTGCTATTGTGAACAATGCAACAATATACATGAGCGTGCATATATTTGTTTAGGTGGCAGTTCTGGTTTCTTTAGGGTATATTCCCAGTAGAGGAATTGCTGGGTCAAATGGTATTTCTATTTCCAACTTTTTGAGAAAGCGCCATACTGCTTTCCATAGTGGTTGTGCCATTTTACATTGCCACCAACAGTGAATAAGGGTTCCAGTTTCTCCACAAACTCACCAGCATTTGCTGTTTGTTGTTCTGTTTGTTCGCCATCTGAATGTCTTCTTTGATGAAGTGCACAACTTAGATTTTAAACAGACATCTTTGCTTCTCCTTGGAGCGGTCCTTGACAGCCGACTTTCCCCACTGTAATACATCTTTTTATTTCTTGACTGCTGATTCAAGGGTGTTGACTGTGGTTCCAAGTAAGATGAAATCATGTACATCTATCTTATTTCCATCCATCATGATTTTGCTATCGGTCTAATGGTGATAATTTTGGGGTTTTTTTTATGTTGAGATGTAATCCATATTGACCTTCTGCAGTAAGCATTTCAAGTCTTTCTCACATTTCAGCAAGCAAAGGATGTGTCATCTGCATAACACAAATTGTTGATAAGTCTTACTTACTTCTATTCTGATGCCACATTTTTCTTCAGAGTCCAGCTTCTTGAATGATTTGCTCAGCATACAGATTGAATAGGTATGGAGAAAGGATACAGCTTTGACCCTTATTCTAGAGCATTCAGTGCACACAGTATGGCAAGCCCAGGAACTGCAGTTTCTTTGCTACTAAGAAATAGATTCAACTGGGTGACCAAATAAATTCATATAAAAAAATGTAAGATAAGGCTGAAAATGTAAGCTGGAGCCAAATAAAACGCATTCAGATGTCCCTCTGCAAAACCTAGGCAGTGATTAAAGATTTCCACCTACAACTAGGAGAGGATAAAACAGATGAATGGGATCTTAGAAGAATCAAATCCCTATGCACATCAAAAAAACTTCTCCAATAGAAAAGTAAAGTCACAGACTGGAAAAGAATATTTGGTAATGACATATCTGATAAGGGATTTTTATCTAGAATTCATGGAATACTCGAGCACCACAACAAGATAAACAACCCAATCGCAAAATGGGCACAGGATATAAAGACACTTCAACAAAGAAGAGATTCAGATGGTGAACAAACATATGAAGAAATGTTCAAAATCCCTAGCTCTAAGAGAGATGCAAATCAAAACTATGAGATATCATCTCACCCCAGTAGAATAGCAAAATTCAAGAGCAGCAAACAACAAATGCTGGCAAGGTTGGGGAACAACTCAAATGCTTATTCACTGTTGGTGGCAGTGTAAAATGGCACAACCACTATGGAAAGCAGTATGACACTTTCTCAAAAAGTTGGAAATACAAATACCATTTGACCCAGCAATTCCTCTACTGGGAATATACCCTAAAGAAACCAGAACTGCCACCTAAACAAATATATGCACGCTCATGTATATTGTTGCATTGTTCACAATAGCAAAGAGATGGAAACAACCCAAGTGCCCATCAACAAACGAATGGACAGAGAAGCTGTGGTATATTCGCACAATGGAATACTATGCTGCATTGAAAAACAAGGAACTCATGCAATATTATTCAAAATGGGTGACCCTGGAGGACATTATGCTGAGTGAAATATCTCAGACACAAAGGGCAAATACTGCACAATGCTACTGTTATAAAGCAGGATTGACGTGGGGGTTGGGGAAGAAGTAAAAAGGATGGGATAAATAATGTACACTGCATTGAAACAGATGAGGGAAAGAACTGCTTAAAAGGAAAATATTAGGTATTATTTGCATAACATTTCTGAATAAGAGCTGCATAATAAAGTGGACTTGGGGGAAGTGTACAACAATGAAAAATAATTTTTCAAAGAGAAAAGCGAACTGAGAAGGGCAGGGAGGAAAATGTGCAGCAATGAATGAATAAATATCCAAGTTCTCTATACACTTCCATTAAAATCTCTATTAAAGGAAACTCTGCTGGCCTGGTGGCAAGAAGCTGCGCTGCAATCCCAAAGGTGCGGGGTTTTAATCCACTGGAGGAGGGGGAATCTCAGTACACAAAAAGGGAGGAAAAGGTATTTACAATTAATAAATAATTTCCTCATTTAAAAAAACTCCATTAAAAGATATTTCCAAAACTGGCCGAAATGTCAAGTTGTCTCTTTCTCTCTTTCTTTCTTTATTATTTTTGTGTGAGTGTACCGTCAAATCAGAGACTGGTACATGAGATTGTCCCTCCTTCCTCGGCAAAGCATCTGGTGGATTCGAACCGTGTGCTTCTGGGATTGTAGTTGCAGCTCCTTGCCACTAGGCCACCAGAGCTCCCCATCTATTCCTTCTTAAAGTGATTAACTGTAGCACGTTTAGAAGAAACTAAAAGTGGTCCTGCCATTGTTCTACGTGATCTCTGAGAAATTGCTAGTCTCCTTGGGCTTCACTTTTATAGCTAATTAAAAGCTGTTAGCATTACTGTACGAACGGTGTCTGACAGTAGAAGGCGCTAGACAAATGTTGTTTTCTCCTTAGAGATAATATGACTGTACTTTATTTACGCAAAATCCGCACACGAATATAAGCAAGGTTCGAATAAAAGGCTCTGCCACTTACAGCTACAATGGCACCTGAGGCTCCAGAAGCCTTCTTAGATTCCCCCAAATTTCAAGGGTGATGGTTCCATGGCCTTTCACTTCTCTGGACCATGGCGGGGGGGGGGGCGGAACCACAAAACCCCTACCTAAACTCGAATTAGTAAATCCGTATCATATCCTCTACAAAGAAGTGGCATTCTTGCCCCCGCGTCATTCATTGATGACATCACATCCACTTACGCTTGCGCGAGGCATTCTTGGCACGCCCCTGGGCCGCTCTAGGCGGCCGCCTCGCGGGTTCGCTGCGAAGCTCGCTGTCGAGGCGGGGCCGTGACGTCCTTGGCGTGGCTGCAAGAGACCGCGGCGGGGAAAATGGCGGACGGGAAGGCGGGAGAGGAGAAGCCGGAGAATCCGCAACGAGCTGGAGCCGCCGGAGGTGAACACAACCCCAGCGTCGCGGGCGGAGGGGAATGCTCCGATCCATTCTTTGGCCTCCCTGGGTCGGGGGGAGTGTGATGGGAGAGAAAGGGTGGGACTGGCGCTCTCCCGGTGCTGGGCCCTGACGAGACGCGGGCACGCCCGATGCGGCCTGCAGGAAACCCGGCCCACACCGCCTTCCTCCTGGGGGGTGGGAAAGCTGGCCACTGAGTGTCACCTCCTGCCCCCAGAGGATGCCCAGCTTCTGAGCAGAGGAGGAGATGGGCTCCAGAAAAGGAGCCTGAAGTCAGGGTGGGATCTGGAGCGGCGTGCGGGAGCCGCTACGGCCCCATCAGACGCACATCACGCAGAACACACACCCTGCAGAAGTCCCTGAGCCTCGGGAACTGGCCGCAGGCCGAGTTTCCGGCGGGGACCGCCTCTCAGTGACACCTGAGGATGAATTTTGCGTGTTACTCCTTGTACGGTGAGGAGGCTGACGACCCTAAACGGTTTTATTTATTTGCCAGCCTGTGCTGCCTCTTACATGAGGTGGGCGGAGACCAAAGAGCAAATTCTCTTCTCTTCACCCGTTTTTAGCCGCGGGGAGCAGGGTTGATTGCTTTCATCGGCCTTTCTTTTAGGCTTGTAGTAAATGCCAAGAATTTAGGTTAGTAATGCCTTCTCTTAGTTGCTTTAGGAGTGGCGCAAATTCAGATTCACATTGTCTTAATTTTATCAAGTAATATTCTCTCCCCCACAAATTAGGGTATTGATCTTTAAGGAAAAGAGAAATGTTACCTCCCCCGCCCCGCACATGCGAGTTTATCGAAGTTTTAAATGTTCGCCGGCTTACCTAGTCTACCAAGTCTTGTCTCTGATTTAATAGGAGGATATACAGACGGCCAGCGTTTGGAGAAAATTTAGGATCCATTTAATAACCATGTTTACCTTCTTGTGTAACATAGAGTCGGAATCGACTCATAGCTGACCCTGTCGCGGGTTCTCAGAGGCAGTTAATCTCATGGGACATCGCTCTCCCTCAGTTACCTTACGGACAAAATATTAAAAGATAGTTACTGTGGAGCCCACAGTTCCTTCACACACACACACACACACACACACACATTCCTTTTTAAAAAACATGGACACAGCTTTTCGACCATCGCCCCCATCTGGGAAATTAACATGAAACCAGGTAGAGAGTTGCCAGGTTGCGTTGTTGACTCAAAGGCCATGCATGAGTCTGGCGGTTCGAAACCATCAGCAGCTCCGTGGGGGAAAAGATGGAGAAGTCCGCTCCGTAGTGATTTACAGCCTAGGAAACGCACTGAAGGATCCGCAGTAAATCATTTTCCCAACTCAGGGCATTGAGAGAAGTAAGAGCATCCTTAAGACTTCCTCCGAAAAATTGTTTTGGAAATTGTTGAGGAAGAGTTCATTTTAAAAGTAGAAATAGCTTGAGAAGAGATGTACAGCGTAAAGATCTAATATGACTTTTACTTTTAGGTTGCCTTTTAAAACTGTGTTGACTCAGTATACTCAGAAATGTATATACAAAGATGTGTTTACTGTGCTGTCAAAATATGCTTTAAAATATCAGCATAATTAATTGAGAGTTAGTAACTAGTGTGAATTCTTAATCTGTCTCTAAGCTTACACTTTAGCCTATCTGGGAAGACGGGGAGGGGGGGAAAGAAAGAAGCCGCCTACCTTTGTTAACCCACGTCAGGGAAATAAGTAATATGGCTCAATTGCTACATAGCTCCACAGTTTACCCTGGGTAAGCGTTTCTTTACAAGAAGTCAGTATCGTTGCCTTTTTTTTTTTTTTTTTTTTTTAAGTATTAGCTGTTGTCCATGAAGTTCAGAGGACTCGATAATTAAAACAGCTCATAATATTAATAAATTATTAATTATATGGCAAGTACTAGTACATAGGAACCCCTCTGCTGGTTCAAATCAACCAGCGGAAAGATAAGATGTTTCTTCAATGTGGTCCATGAAGTTTGGAAACCTGGTAGATGGCCAGGCAGTGGTCATGAATTTTGAGTTAATAGTAGATAGTCACTGTTATGAAAACACTTAACCTACTTTGTCTCAAGGACTTACTTAGAAAAATATTTTGTATTTTCAGTTGAATATTGCACTGCCTTGGCACTACTCTAGGTATTTGAGTAGGTTACTCCTCTACTTGACATGACTTAAATAGAAAGTGAACAGCTTTGGACAAGATCCCCTCTTTTTACACACTGTTTTTTTCTTTCTTTTTTTTACACACTTTTGTTTACTGATATCAAAAGCATGACCTTTGGTTATGCTAATAGTAAAATTGACATTTGTTGTGCTAAACACTAGTGGAATCTTGATTATATTCTCACTTAAATCTCATACCAATTGTAGTAGAAATATGGCTTTGTGCCCTTTCTTAGGTGAGAAATTGAGCAAAATGATCTTTAGGACTTAAATTTTCTTACTAAGTAATTTTTTTCAAACTTTAAAATCCCTCTTCTCAAACTAGCCAGTGGGAAAGTACAGTGTGATTTGATTTCACATTAATCACATTTATGTGCTCAAGGAGAAATTCAGAGCCCCTTTCATTAAAATATTCTTGATAAATATTCTTGATAAAGAATCTTGTAATTTATATCATTTTAGTCTTGTTTGGTGACTTGATTGTGTAAAAATTAATTTGTGATTTGATTATTTTTAAAAGATAATCTTTCAAATATAATTAAAATTTTTTCATTACTAATTTGGGCTCACTTAAAATTTTGTTTTCTGAGGTCTTTAATATGTAAACTGAACATAGAAACTTAAGTGCTTCGAAATGAGTGTTGGTATTTATAATAATATTCTCAAATTCACGTTAGGTTGAAGTAGGTTTCTAATGAATTATTAATAATAGAATTCTATAAGTTACATAACAGTTGTGTTAATAACATGACTATCACATTTCGCTATCTTAACTCACTGACAATTTCATTTGCCTTTTCCTAATGCTTTGTGAATTTTTCTGTGTAATTTTTAAAAGAAGACTATATAAAAAGATAATAACAGCTTGAGTTAAGTGACATCTTCCTTTGTTCCCTCCTAAGACATGTCTCCTAAAGACAGAGATGTCATTTTTACAATTGAGTTTTAAAAACAAAAACATAAGAACTTGTTGAGTATGGGAAAATCCAAACAGTGACTTGTTAGGCTCAGAAATAAATTAATGGATTTGAAATCTGTTATATGTGTAGAAAAGATCTAATAGAAATGGTTTATTTAATCTTGTGTGGCTGTGAATTGGGTAGTTGTCTTAGCCTCTTCATCAATCAAGAACTTGGGTGTGAATAAAACTGAGCTGCTGTTAGTTGATTGAAAAAAATAGTAGAATAGTTCCCTAAATTTTTTTTTTTTCGTGCACACTTTTTTGGAACAGGACAGCTCTACTAAATTGCTCAACTAAAAAGTTGCACACTTCAAATCTACCAGCTACTCTGATGGATTTATCAGAATAACTCTGAGTCAGTACCAACTCAACAATAGTGAGTTTCTGCTTGGATATCTTTGCTACTGAATAATAGGAAGGGTCAGATAATACAGCACATTTCCTGTATTAGCACATAAGATAGTTATAACATTTATGTTAATAATACTATTTTAGTACAAGTTATCTTTTTATCGTATTTATACTTTTTAATTTTACTAGATTCTCCATTTCAATTATTTTCTTGGTAAAGGGAAACTTAAAAGAGGGACTAGTTTATAGCCACAGTTTAATTTAAACTATACTGAGGTATATTTTTTCAGTGCCTTTTTAAAAAAGTTACCACTTGGTGGTTTTCATAGTTTTTGCACAGAACGTGTGCTTTTCATAAGGATGTAGAACCAATGGATAGGCATTTTAGCTGTGTCAAGAGCAAGAAAGTGCTTATTTTAATTTTATTTAAAAATACTGTAGGCAAATGAAACAAAATAGAATACAATGTAGGTTTTTATATTTCAGCTATTGTATGATAGGCTAGTTTTGGTTTTTTTTCAATTAAGTTCTTTTGTAATTTCATATCTAAATTCATGAATGGAACCTCAAGAAACAATCATACACCTCCTAGAAGTTGTTAGAAGCTAGGCTGCATTCCCAAAGGTGCACTCTTCAAAACCACCAGCTATTTTGTGGGAGAAGAATAGGTATTCTCTTGTGCAGTTTCCTGCCTCTAAAAACCTGCTGGAAGGTCAGCTATGAATCGATGGCACATAATAAGAATTTCTTCTTATTCTTGACAAAATTGATTGTTCTATTCAAAATACATATAAATTCAGAGACTTATCCCAAAATTTTATAGTTCTACATCTTCAGGTTTTTGATCCTTGGCTTGCCAGTCTGATTTTTCTATTCATCCTTTTTTGGCTTTTTGTCCTGTTTCTTCAGTGAGTATCAGAACTATAAGCTACTCATTGAGAATAGTTGAATAAATATTACAGGGTATAAAACTAGGGGAAGAAAATTTTTTTAAATGATCAGCCAACTTTCTCAGGTCTGTCTTCTGACATGTTTTTAAATAGTGTTCTTACATTAGAAACCTAAGATAACTCATATTGCAAGGTAATCATTAACTTAAAAAAGAAGTAAAATTAAAGATATTTTTAATTTTATAACAAGTATTGTTTTAAAAGTAGCTCTTTATTTTATTAGAAAAAAATTGAGAAACTGAAGTACTATTTTTTAATTGCTCTTAAGTGAAAACATTTGATAGCCAAACCTTCAGCATTGAGCTCAGTTGCTCAGACTACCTTAAAGTTCCCTTAAATTGCTTTTCAGTTCTTAAGAGTGTGTGAAATGTATGCTGGAAACACATAACTTAAGAGAATTATTTCAGATTCTATTAACATTATAGTGCAGGTAATAATTGATGTGTTTCTGTTATGTACATTTTATAATGAAGGTGCATTATTGAAGAATATTATAATTTATTACCCAGTCTTATGATGTAATTGCCCACAAACTAGTTTGTGTAGAATTTATAGAGCTTAACTTCTGCAAATGCCATAGATAACAAGTCTGTTGTATAACTCACATAATAGTATTTAGTTGAAGGGTCTTTACTTTGTATGAACTCCATGTTTATAATTTTAAATTACTCTGTATTTTATGCTAGTTAATTCATGGGAGCCTCTTCTACTGCCACACAATCTCAGTTCCTGCTGTATACTCTAACAAACAGTGGAAGAGACTGTTGGGTCAGTAGGTGACAGCTGCAGAGGTATCTTCCTTATAACGATGCTTTTTGAGGTTGCTGCTCCCATCAATCTGCTCAGTAAAAATAGCTCATCTTGGTAAGTTGTTTCGACTTCACCAGGACCTGAAGAAGAAGCAGAAAAACCTGTGAAAACTAAGACTGTTTCTTCCAGTAATGGAGGGGAAAGTTCCAGTCGTAGTGCTGAGAAACGATCAGCTGAAGAAGAAGCTGGAGACTTCCCAACAAAGCCTACAAAGATCTCCAAGTTTGGATTTGCCATAGGTAGTCAGACGACAAAGAAAGCATCAGCCATATCCATCAAACTTGGATCAAGTGTGAGTTGTTATTTTAATTATGTTGTTTGGAATTCGTTTTGAAAACCCATTTAATAGGTTATAGTAAACTAAATTAAGTATAGAAGGATACTTTGAAGGAATCTTTGATGCATGAACTTGGATGTAAGTATTTAAAAAGTGTTTAGCACTTTGAAATACTAGAAGGAACAAGTGTGATGGGGAAAATGTAAAGTGATAACTTTTAAGTTTTTCAGAGTTGACCCAAACCTCTGAAAAAATTTTCTGAGAGAATTTCAGTTTTGTGTTTCTTTTTTCTTTCAGTGCTAGTGATAATTTTTTTAATTATATCTCTAAGAATTTGTTCTTATCTAAAAAAATTATTGGTAATAAGAGATTCTCAGTTACTTAACATTAGCACTACAAATGAACATTGAGTACTAATACTCTATGATAATGGTGATAACCATTTATAGATAAACTTTAGCCTCCTTTTTTTTTTTTTAAATTTTTGTGTGCGTGTACCGTCAAATCAGATCTGATTGGTACAGGAGGAGATGTCCCTCCTTTTCCCGGCAGAGCATCTGGTGGATTCGAATCGTGTGCCTCTGAGATTGTAGTTGCAGCTCCTTGCCACTAGGCCACCAGAGCTCCCATTAGCCCCTTTTTAAAAGCTAAAAACCTTGAATAAATTTTTAAATATTAACTGTGGGACTACTAGAACTTTTAAAAATATTATGTTGAACTTATAAAGTTATAGATACTCAACTGTTTCTGACCATGTAGAGTCAGCAAAATAGATCTGTCCAAGTTATTTAAGTAGTGCATTGCTTTTGGGGGTTTTTTGTTGTTTGTTTTGGTGGGGGGGGGGTTTGTTGTTGTTAATGGTTACATTTATAGAAAATCTTTTTACAGTAGTGGGACAAAAATGAACATATTATGTTAAAACCTGTGCAGTGATTACCCATATTTTCTGATAGAAAAAATGGGTTTGTTCCGTGTCCTGAGTTCTTTATTGTGTAAGAGTTTGTAAGTAAAAATAAAGTTGAATTTTTCTATATCATTTGTTTAACTATTCATTAAACAAGTTTGTGCATGATACTTATGTGGTATATTTAAATTACGTTCTACAGAAACCTAAAGAACCTGTTCCAACTCTTGCTCCAAAAACCCTTTCAGTAGCTGCAGCTTTTAATGAAGATGAAGATGTAAGTTAATACCTAATTTTCTTTATTTTAGTTCTTTAAAGGAGTTAATGGCAAATATCATTTGCCTTTATGATACTGGTCCCTTTTTTTGTCATTTTCTTGTGAAACCTACAAAAAGCAGGTACTTCTTTCTGCATTAATTTTCTCTGGTAGTAAAACATTTTTGTAAGAAATTTGGAGGATCCATTAAAAAGATCCAGATTCATTTTAGTTCTTAATGTTTAACTTAGGAAATGCAGCTGTTAAGTATTTGTCCTCTGCACCCCAGGAGGAATACCAATCTACATTATGCAGATATTCCTGCACATCTGCTATCCTCTCAGCTTCAGTTCTCATGTCACTAGTAGTGTCCCTGTATTACCATACTTCTAAATGATGTATGGAGTTTGCAAAGATAATTCTGACTGATATTTTTGCTTTGTAGTTTTACTTTAGCTAGCTTTACCTAGCTCTCACTTAACAATATGATCTCTATTTTACAAAAAATGCTACAAGGTAAATTCATAATTGCTCCCAAAAACAATGTGCATAAGAAAAATAAAAATACATACATGTCTGTAAAAAAAAAAACAACAACAACACAACAATCCAAAACCCAAATCCTATGGAGCTAAAATGATTTGAAAAGAAAATGTGAAAGGAATGCTTTCATAATCCCAAGGCCTCAACTTTCGAGTGTAAGTAATAAATACTGAATAACTGCAGAATTTTGTGGAGGAGTACTGGGTAAGGATAAGCACAGCACCATGAGATAACAAAGATAACCCAGAAATGTTGCCTATTAGGGCAGAAACTTAACCATAAAATAGTAAAAGATATAAAATTAAAAATACCTAAGGAGGTTGTAAAAGGAGCAAGGGCCACATAGGGAGTGCCATATCTGACCTTTACTGACTTCACATGGGGGAACTCTCCCCATCCACAGCATCAGTAACACAAAACAAATTCCAGTGAAATCAGACAAGTCCCCATGCTCCCATACCTCTTTGTACTCATATCAACACCAATCTTACTGTTTTGCTGGGTCCAAAATCCAATGTAATAGTTCACAGATCACACAGAACCATAGTGGGGAAGTCAAAAGATTGTAGTTCGGATTAATAACAGAATATAGTCAAGACGCCTTCCAAAATGTGCACACAGGCACTTGAGCCTCGTGGCTTCAGAACATGTTTCCAAATTTGCTGTCCTGCCAATTTTGGCTTTGCTCTCTAATTGTCCTTAGTCCTACCAGTCCCATCTAACTTCAATTCTCTAGTTTGGCCATGGTGGCAGCTGCTGTCCTAAAAGTGTATCCTACATTTTCCTGCCTCTTCACTGGAGTGGGGAAGGTTTCTCTTCTCTAGGTGGGGAAAATATGATTCTTCTGTCTGGAGCTATTCAATTTATTAGACTAGCCAAACCTCTTGAGATTGTTGAGACTAGCCAGTCCCTTTGTGGATAAGCCAATAATGCCCTGTCCACATAGCAAAATCAAGTAATGTCTGGAAAAGTCAAAAGATGACTCCATAGAGATGAATTAATACGGAAATTGAGGGGAAAAAAAGTAACCAGGAAATTAGATGCAACGGGATGGAAATACCTACACTGGGAATCAAAAAGCTTGGATTCATACTCAGATCTGACTTGCCATTTACTAACAAACAAAACACATTTGATTAAGTTCATTTTTACTTTACCTTTTTTAAGCTTAGTTTTTTAATTTTATTTTTTTATTATTATTATTTTTGTGTGAGTGTACCGTCAAATCAGATCTGACTGGTACAGGAGGAGATTGTCCCTCCTTCCCCGGCAGAGCATCTGG